AGTGAAGCATTGCAAAGCTGAATGCAATGTTATAGAAAAAACTTTAATTCTTAAGAGCAAGGAATTTGAATTTGAGTGGGCTTAGTAATGGGCAAATCCTTCAAAGTTTACCTTTTGCATATTTTCTGTTACTAAAGAAGCATTCATATTTATGCAAAGTATTTTGGAAATTGTTGAATGATGTTTTTCTCAGTCCTTTATCTACTTAAGAATATAAATTCATAATAATGGCCATTAAATCTGGCTCTTTTCTCCATGTTGCCTTCAGAAGCAGCTCAGCAGAAACATTCATTTTTATAAATGTTCTTCTCTCTTTCATTTCTAGAAAAGAAAAGGAAATAAAGAAACTCTGCAATTACTTTGTACCAACTGTAGTAATGCCAGAAATCTTTGTAATCTAAATTACTTTCTTCTATGGGTGAAAACAGTTAATAGTGACTCCCTGTAGCTTACAGCACATTAAGCACTGGAGAAGAATATTAAGCAGTTATACCTCTTTGTGGAATATGAAGGGTTTTTTTTAGTCCACAAAGCTAGCAGTACTGTACCTGTCATGCATTGTCTCCCATACACAATGTCTGAAACTGGGACCATATGCAGAGATGTCAAAATGGACCTACAGTAACAAATAGTGATTTATTTCTCTCTAAATGAAGAAAAGAACAAAGAATTTCTTACAAAACCTGAAGCTGGGGAGGACAGAAAGGAAGCCCTGAATTACCCTCCTTGTGCATGAGCTGCACTTTCCCAGAGTTGCATTTCTAGCATAGCAAACAGCCACCATGTGATACTGATGTCCAGGCTGCTTCTGAGTACTCAGTGGCTGAGCAGGGAGATATGCTGACTTCTTCTGGTTCTTCATGTTTCTTAGGTTGTTCTAAGGAAGCAGATCTTCGCCACTGTCCAGACAAGTGATAAACAAACTAATGTAATGACAACATGATGGTTAAATTTTCCTCTTTTTCTCTTGTTTACAACTTCTCTATGCTTTGGAAAGGTGGCTTGTTAAGGTCTCCAAGTAAGTCAAAGTCAGCTTTAAAGACCTCTTGTCACCATGCTTTGCAGTGAGGCAGTATCAGGCTTCATAAATCTCTGGAACACCTTCAACAATTTGTGAGCCAGGTCTCCCATTAGATGACTTCCTGAGTAAGAGATGCAAAAGTGGCATCCAGCTGGCTCCAGAAAAACAGTGAAAATTGAATTATGTTATATATAGTATTACATATTATGTATAATATATATGTCTATATATGTGTATGTATGTGTGTGTGTATATGTATACATATCTCCCCAATGAAGACTGCCTCAGTCAGGCTTCAGATTCTATTCTGTTATGGAGGGGAACTACTAGGCTTATAAAATGTCTTTGAGGTGCTTTATGAGTAGATTTAATCTAATACTAGACAGAGTTTACAAAGTGGGATACTACAAATTATATACCACTAATGGAGATTTGACCTGTTTCACAACAGCCACAATCAGTGACTGTAATCCTTCTTTGGAGTTCCCTTTGGCTTTTCTCCATGAATGAATTTGATGGATAAACTTAAAAGTCTAACTAAGAAAGGCTTACTACTATGAGAGGTGAGCTATAGGGTACCAGAAAAACACCTACATTTATCAGAACAGAATTTATTCTTGATAGTTTCCTAACTGTGAACTCAGCAAGAAAAATGAAGGTTGTTATAAAAAACTACAGTGTTATCATTTTATGGTAAAGAGAAACAAGCATGGTATATAATGTAGTAAAACAGAGGACAAAGTCAGTAAATAATTTCATGGTTGTTACTGCATTTAGAAGCGGAGTTAATTGATTTACTAAAAAAGTAAACAAGATAATAATGAGCAATATTTTAATCTAACTGCACCTTATGTGTTGCTCATGACATACTTGGAAGGAGATTCTGAAATTTAACAATGCAGATTTTTCTATGCAACTGACATGATAACTTTAACAAAAATTCTTATCCCATGACATAGAATGAGCACCTCAGAATTCTCTGCCTTTTGTTACAGTACAGAGTGTGACTTCATTTAGCTGTTGAAAATTCTTCAACAATTTGGAACATTTTTATTGCTTTTCCCTTGGTGAAATTTTTTATTGTTTATTTTTTTAATATTATTTGATTGCTCTTTCTATATAGCAGTATAGATGATTTTTTCCCAGACAAAGGAATCTCAAAGATTGGAAAGGCACTTAGGAAGTAAGAAAAATTTTTCTTTTATCTTTACAATAAATCATAATGAGTGGATAAGCGATTCTGTCATATAGAGTCTGGAGATTATCAGTAAGGACAAGTAGGTTTGCAGATTATCGGTAGGAACTGCTATGTCAACTGAAAATTATCAGAAGAGAATGCACCAACACTACTAATGAAGAAGTCCAAGCAACCCAGTTGCAACAATGGTGCTGTCATTATCTGCAAAATTTCATTGTTAATGAAATTGACCCCCTGGCTCTCTTTTGAACCACTAAAATGAGTCCACTACAGATAATCTCTTCCAAGCACTAAAGCAACATCAAGACTGGCTTTAGCACCACTTGACACTTGGTTTCAGCGCCAGTGAGCAGTGCTTGTCCCTCTTTCATCTTGTGGTATAGACATAGTGAGGGACTTAGAGCTGCCCAAAGGTAAACAGCAAGCATCTTTATTTTCACGTGACTTCAGTGAAAATAGCTCCAAGCTTGTACAAGATTGCTCCTGCATTTTTTTTTACAACATTTAAGGATGTACAGGTAAGAAGCGCTGTTCAAGTGCTAAATGTTGACTTATTGCTATTATTACCAATATTGCAAAGTTTGCTTGCTGGGTGACTTCAGTGTGAGGGCCCTAATCACAGATAATGGGAGATGAGCAGGAAATTACATGGACTCCTGTGAAGCGGCGTATTGTGCTACAGAAAATGTTTCTTTTTCCCTTCCTAAAAACCTAATCTTTCTATGTTACCGTTGATCACCCTATAATTGCATGTACTTTCAAAGGAAAAATGGTTGTTCTCTTTGGATTGGTGTGAAAGTGTGCATTTAGAAAGGGTCTAATGTGAAACTGAGATACCAGAGGAAAGTAGAAGGAAACCCAAGGGTTACATATGCCCTTCCTAGAGAACCTGAGCTTCCTAAGTGTAAATTAACATAACTAACACTAGTTACACATATAACTGTGCAGACAAGCATCTCAGCTACAGAATGCTACTATAAAAGCCCAATTAATCACTATACAGTATTACTCTGTATTGATTTGAGGCTGAATTCCAGAAGGAAAAGAGTAAGGAAGTATTAAATATGTCTTTACATTCAACAAAGTTGCAGTGATGGGATTGTGTGGAGAAAGATACCATAGAAAAGGAAGAGAAGTTTATAATGGAAATAGTTATATGCAGATAGAAATAGTTTGCTGCAGACTCTTTTAATAAAAATTAGAATTGTGCTAAATATGGTTATATTACTGTTTTCTCCACTTCCTCTTTTGTTGTTTTTTTGCTACAGCATGCAGTTTTTGTATATAGTCTGATATGGAGCTGTTTTGTTTCAGATAATATCTAAACAGTGACTTGAAGAGCAACAAGTGAAGGCAAGACATTGTAGAAATTAGGATAATTAATGCTGCTCCTCTATGTCAGCAGATCCTAAAAAAATTATAACCTGTTATTGTGAAGGTCTAGTAACTAAATATTTTTTAAGACTATGAACACTTCTAGAAAAAGGCATGTTGAAAAAAACCCATTTTGATTTTGAAAAGGCTAAGTGAAGAAATATGAAAGTTCTCAGACAAAAGTACTACTAAGGAAAGTCAGAAGGTGGATTAGGTATGCCAAAAGTACAACCAAATAAAATAGAGGAGCACATGCTGATGTTAAAGAAATAAATGTTTCCTTAGGGCAATGTAGATAGAGATTCCTTTAAGACAAATGGAAAAAAACTGTACTTATTTTGTTACTGTGCTGACTTCCCTATATTTTTACATATTGAATTTAATATTGTTAGACCTTGTGCTCTTGCCATGAGAGGTCTAATTGTGAATTAATGGACCTGCTTGCAAGCATTTTGCAGAGAAGTATGTATTGAAATTCACAGATGTTCCTTCTCATTAGTTTCAGTGTTTTATATTTGTAGGAAACTGGGTCTTAAACCCCCACCAAAACCAGCCTGTATATCTAATATTCTATTCCATATTCAATACTACTTAAGAGTGACCTTAGAGAATAACTAATTCTCAAAATCAGTAAAGGCAATATTTCTATCTTTAGAGGTGGATGTTAGTAAAACCGGAACTTTTACATGTAGAGAAAGACTGTGGAGCCAGAACAACAAACTTGGGCTTATTTGTCCTCCTGACAGCTGCTGTCAATTCATGAAAAGCACAGTGTGCCTGCTGCAGTCATGGAGGGCAGTGGTGTCACTGGACCAAGCCAGCTCCCCCCTGGCCTTGTCACACCAGCAGTCCATCACTTCCTGCAGTGGAGCAGAGAACCTGCTTGAAATTCCAAGAAGAAGGGAAATATGAGTCCAAAGCTTGTTCTTTTTCTTATTTTTTTTTCTTCCTTGAAAGAGAGTTTTTGATTAGGAGATGAGCACAGGCTATACTACAGCTACAGCTATTAGCTCACTTATCCCAGGTATTAGTAATCTTGGTGTAGCCTGAAAGGGAATTCAGAAGTTTGTGACATCTGAGGCACTTCATAAACATATTTAACAGTTACTGTTGCATAAGAAGGCAAACTGAAATGCTTGTCAATCTTTGTTAATAGATTTGTTTTTGTAGGAGAAAATGAACCTGAAAATCTTCCATCAGTCCTTTTGATTTTCAGTAATTTTGATTTCAATCCATGAACTATGAAGTAAAAGTGACAGGACCTGCCATACAGGTATTTATAGGAACACATTCCAGATGTTTCATTCTTAATTTCCCTCCCTTACTGTCTTTCCACTTGTTTAAAGTTTGGTGGGATGGTGAAGAGGGAAGAGGAGCTGTTGGCTAAATAGACAAGACTTAACCACATTTTAGGTCAGTACAAATTTTTATTAAAGGAAATTGTTACTTAGTTGCTGTAACTAGAGCTTTCATTCCAGCAGTATGGACTAATCCCATATTAGTTAACATAAGGCTGTTATTCTAGCCCTTCAAATTGTACACTTTCCCCTAAGATTCACATACATCTTTATATTTCCATACTAGACACTCATATGTTTCATTTCAGCTCCCTTTTTCTCCCTTTTTTCACAAATGTGGCATCCAGTTTTCATTTGCAATATGTTGCTCTTTTCCCTAAACTTTTTCTTTACATTGGACAATTTCTACTATATTGTGCTGCGGTTTCAGTATTTCTTACATTATGGTTTAATCTTCTTAAACATGGTTCACAGAGCTGTGGCTGGGTTTCTGGCTGTGCTTTTGTCATCAGTTTACCATCACTACAGGCTGCAACAAGCATGTGCTTTGATTACAGAACTGCTCACTCTTGCCATGTGTTTTCTCTAAGCATGATTTCTTGACATTGTTTCATTTCAGGAATACATATTTACTTGTGCACCCCATTCCCTCCTGTGGACATTTTGTACAACAATGATTTACTAAGTGCTTCACTGTACCTTTTCACTTGCATTTTTACAAAATGTTCTGTTATAGACAAATAATGAGCTGAAACATACTTTATACTTTTAGTTGTGGTGTCTTAGACTTGGCATGAGGAATAAAAGAATTAATATTTATGATACTAAAAACCCAGTTCTGAGCAGTGCATTCAAAAATTTAATTTGGCCCAGTACAGGGAACAGTCTGGGGCTAAAGAGTTATGATGTGAAAATTTAATTTGTAGACATTGATGAGAGTGTGTTTAATCTCTGTCTAACTGCAAAGCTTTCTCACATAAAGATTGTTCTGATTTTATTAGGCAGATCATGACAACAGCTGAGGTCAGCAGAGGTAGCAACTGGATGTCTGCAGCCAGAGAGTATGATCGAATTCCTTCCCCAAGGAGCAGTGGAAAAATAGTCTGCAGGCCGATCATCTTGATTGGCACAGGCGTTCTTCCAAGCCCAAGAGAAATTTTGACATACTAGGAGCTAGAGGCAAAATAGGGAGATGATTAGAAGATAAATAGCCTTTGGATGAGATCAAGCAATTTTTTTTCGTATTGGTCTTGAATCAAATGTTCCTCAGGACATATAAAATTAATTTCATCCTGAAATAGCACTGAGCCAGGTAAGTAGCTGAAAAGTATCATGAAAACTCTTTTTTTTTTACTTGGGTCCTGTTCTCTCTTTTAAAAGAAATTTTATCTACAGGTGAAATAGCAAAACATAGATTCAATAGGCTGTCTAAGGATAGAGTTTTCTCCCTTACATGTTGGAGTGGCTTATGGCAAAAAAATCTATCCATAGCTCAAACCCACACTATTTTATTTCATTAGAAGGCAGGTTTACCAAAACTATAGGGCTATCCAAAACAAACCCCTACAGACATGTATTAGAGGTGTGCAGAAAAACATTTGTTGCGACAGTATCATTGTTTTTCAGAGCTGCCCCTGGAAGAAAGGCAGAGGAGCCACCCATGTGTGTGAGAGAGAGAATATTTAAATTGCTGTCATTCCTATGCAGGATGGGCATGCCCAGCCCTGTCTGGATCTGGGTAGCTCAGCTGGCTTTCTGAGGGAGAGTGTTTGTCACAGTCACAGTGGATCAGCAAATACCAGTTCAGTCGCTGGTGAAGCTACACAGCCTCTGCACAAGAGCTGGCTTCAATGTGGACAGCCTGAATACAGGTGGAGTTGGGAGGCTCTTCACCCACACTTGACTACTAGTGGATCTATTCCTAAACAGCCACATACAACACGTGGAAGACAGAGAACATTAAAAGGAGTGAAATAATGGAAATAAGAGTAGCTTATTGTTGTTGTAAGTACGTTGTAAAACAGGAAAAGTAACCATGGCTTTCTAGTTCTTTCATTTCCATATTCTTTTGCTAAAGATAACTTCTAATATTTTTCTAAAACAATTTTCACACAAACTTTAAATGGCTGGGCTGTTACTGTCTGGTGCCTTCCATGAGACAAACAGCTTGGTTCTTTATCAAGTTACTTGGTAAAAGTGCTTTTTCTTGGAAATAAACTATCTCCTATCAGGACCAGGAAGCAACTTTGACATGATAAAGTTTCTTGAGTCTTGGAGGTTCATGTGGTCCCCAGAAAGGTTCTCACAGTGCTATCAGACTCAGACTTGGTATTATGGGTAAAAAGAAGTTCTGTGCAATAAAACTTGTCCTATCACAATCTAGTTGAAAAGCAATCAGGTTTGAACACTGATCATTTGGTAACAGCTGCTTATTCATTCAATTTCTTTCCACTTCATCTCTGTAGCTGCTGAATATTTTGATATAGAGATAACACATTTCTACTGTTTTATTATATCACTTCTTAGTCTTTTACTTGATTTCCATATGTCACATAACAATCCAATTACTCAATTTATATATTAAGATGTTGCATTACTTGCTACCACTCAGATATTGGTAATACAAACAGTATAGACATATATAAGCCATGTTGTTAAGGCCAACCCACATTTTCATTTGGGACTTTAAGAATCTGGAGATTTCAGAAGTAATTTTCTTGATTGCCTAGTTTTTCTTATAACAGTATTTTTCTCATGCTCAGACTTATACCTCCATAATAATGGTTTTTCTTTGAAGAAATTAAATATTGTACAATCATAGAGACCACCTCACTTAAATCTAAGTGGATATCTTTCTAAGTGGTTAGATTTTTCTACCATATACACCACGGTAGGTTTTTTATCAGTGTGAGCTGGATTTATGCAGCAATATAGCAGCTTGTAGCTGATAGTACTCACTGCTTCCAGTAGAATGATGAGAGTGCAAAAACTCAGAAAAGCTGTGGATTCATTCTCACTTTTACTCCTTTGGTGTCATCTGCTCCTTCTCTCTGTTTTGCTTTTTGCTAGAAGACAGGAAGTCCTTACATAGTGAGTGGAAGCACTTCCTGAAGTTTTTTCCTCATTGCTTTGTCTCCAGCTGAGAGAAGGTGTTGCTCTATAGTAGATTCTCTACACACCAGCTACTGTGGAAAGGAAATAACCATACAGATGTTTGTTTGATAAGCACATGAAACAGCAGGGAAGATTTTTGAAACAATACATTAGCATATGAGTACCAAGTAAGGATATTATTTTGTTTTATAAGTAATGTTGTTCTTAATGCTTCTGCCTCATTTCTGTCTTGAGGTAGTCTATATAGAAATCCTGGAAAATGAGTGTTTCACATTCTGAGGCTTTACATAATAAAACTGTTACTAGATGGCCATCACTGCTATCAGTTACCTGCTGACCATCACACAATGCTAAACATGTGACAGATAAACCAAGGGAATGCTGAAATCTTGCTGCATGGTGTATTGACATAGAAGACTGTGAGGTGTACTCAGGGTGAAGACTTCTCTTTACTGTGTTGTGGTTGTTAGATTCAAAGTAATGTTGATTCAGATCAATTGTCTTAGCTCCCTGTGTTCATTAGCTTTCTTTTGGATTAGTATTGAAGAGAAAGATATTTTGACAGTGTTTCTTGACAAATTGTCCCTCTTTATTTGGAGTACATTCCTCAGTTTTAGAGGTCTGCTTCCTATTTTACACTTTTAACTGATTAAACGTTCCTGCTGAGGAACTGGTATTTAAAAGACCTGTGCTTAGGGACATGATTTAGTGGTGGACTTGGCACAGTCATGTATACAGTTGGACTCAGTGGTATTATATCCCTTCCAATTTAAAAGATTCTAAAAGTTTGTGATTCTAGGTTTTCATTTGTCTACCTCAATTTTCTTTGTAGATTGGTCAAGACTCATAACTAAAGTTAATCCAAAACTCTAAATAAGTATGTAATCCTTTCCTGATAATCAATTACTAAACTGAGTTTCCTGTCATGTGAAAAAAGCTGTCAAGTGTTACACTGAGACACCTAGGGATTATTCGTGAGCACTAACAGTCCCATGGCATTCTGGTTTTAAGTATTAAGAGAAGCCACATCACTGGCAAGTGTAACTTCCATTGTTTTATAACTCAGCCCTGCAGTTGCCCTTTGTTGAATTTTCTTTTAAAAATGTTGGTCTGTACAATCTACTGAACAGCAATGAGAAAACTGGTTCAACATGGGTCTCGAACATCTGCCTGACAGTAACTAATCAGTAATTCCACTGATTACAATTAAAGGGTTCATGTGTTTAAAGTTAAACATATTTACTCTGAGTGGTACATGTTTTAAACTGATGTCACTCAGCTACCAAGAATACAACAATAGGCCTAGATATCCTTATAATTAGGCTTATTAAAACAAATTGCTTAAGTCTATGATTGCCTAAGCAATGTAATTTCTCAGACTATGCTTCTAGTTTTCTTCTCTACAGTACAATAAAATCAGCATTGGAGTTCCCCAGATTTCTCAAGATTGCCTTATAGTGTTTTTGCTTTTTTATATTCACTTTCTGACTTTACAGTGTTAAGGTGCTGCCTGCTTTTCTTTCTATAAAGAAAAGTAAGAATTTAATTAATTTATTTTAATGTGCTTGTTACCTAGACTTGGAAATGCCTCCTGCTTGATGCCAAAACCAGGTAATTTTTTAGGCTTTACCCTCAAAGGTGCCATGCAGGGCATCCTACAGCTGCAGAAATAAGCAGGGACTTCAGTTAGAATAATTCATGTATGGCATATGCTACCTTTACTTGGAACTGCAATTTTTGGCATGGGATACGCTGTTTTTGTTTTTAATGTCAGCTCCCACCTCCCCACATACCCCCAAATTCCAAGATGTCTGAAGACACTTCTACCTGTGTGATACTTAAGGAGGAAAATATGGAAGAAATAGGACATATGGAAGTTTCATGGAAAATTGTAGTATTTTAAGAATGTATATTCCAGGTGTGTCATAGCTATGTGTACTTCTTGAGCTGAATACAATTTTCAGTTCAATACAATCCTCAGTCTTTCAGATTTTTTTAAATTTAGGATGCTACTCAAACTATAATAATCAATTTCTGTAGAAATGTTAGTTATGAATGTCTATTATTTGTTAGTACCTAAACAAACAATTGTCTAGTTTCAGACAACAGCTTATTACAGCAACTTTTTAATTTGCATTTGGTGATCATAGAATAACCGTACACAAGTTTATATCTAGTTATGAAAATGTGGAACCCTTCTCACCTACCTGAATAATTAATTTGCTGCCATTTGCTTCCTCTGGATCATGTTGGGCATGTAGTCTGGAGACTACAGAGATGATCTCCAGAAACAACTGCTTGTTTTCAGTGTCTCCACTAACTTAAAATGGGTTGTTTTTTCCTCTCATAAAATCTTGCTATCTGGAGGCCTCTGCAGTTGTGAAATATGTGCAAGTGGAGAGGCAGGTGGTGATTTCCCAGCCCATGAGAGTCACTTTAAAATATGGTCTCCTGGGGCTTGTCTTCTGTTTGGAAGGCTGTAAATATTACAAGCCTGATGGGTGTTATGATGAAATTTGATGACTAATTCTCATTAAATGAAATCAGGTATCGACCTTGAGCATCAAATGTAATTATTGGTGCCAAATTCATACACTTTTAAAGTACCTTCACTATATAAAGCTGAAATTTTGCTCATTTTTCTCTGAAACCTTCTTCACTGAAAAGGGAATCAGAGGGTAAATAATCTAGAGAGGAAAAAAATATTTTTTGTCTTACTTCAAATCAAACACAAAATTTTACAATTATGTGCAATTAGGAAAACTAAGCTGTACATAGCATGTTTGAAAGTGATTAATTAAAAGCCAGTATGTTGATGTACCAAGAAAAGCTCACAAAAACAATTGGATATCAATCTGCCTTTGCACAAATAGTGCCTGATGTACAAACTTGTATTTTCCTCTTTTCTCCCGCATAGCCTTGGCTTAAGGTTGAAAGCATGCACAGAGTAGATGATTTTGTTTTGTGTTGGATGGTGACTTTCAGGTAAGAGGTACACTGTAGTGTTGATTAATATATTTAACAAACAACACTAACCAACAGAAGTTTACCAAGAAACAGTCATAGAAAACATGTTTTGGAAATTAAGAAAGCTGCTCCATCAGGAGATTAGTCATAGTCAAAGTTCAGAAGGTGAAAATTATGGATCAAAAGGGTTTTAAAATTCAGGTGCTTTCAGTGTAACTTAAAATCCCTCCTCAAACAAACTCACAGCAAGGCAAGTATCATAATGTAAATAATTAATTTAGTTGGAAATAAAACTGCTACTAAATTATTTTAAATCACCTGGAGAAAATAAGTCTTGAAGTAATCTGAAAGGCACTGGAAAACTCTTCTGGCCTCTCTAAACTCCCCTGAGTCTGATGTGTGGAAGAGATAAATATGAAACTCTCCAGGCTAAGAAGAAAGGTTTCATCACAGCATCTATACAGCCAGCAATAATTTGTGCAGTTTGACTCAAATTACAGTAATTTTCACAGTTCAGTTGATTTTATGCATAGACAAGGATTCTGATTAAAACAGAATTTCTTTCCTGTCTTTACTTGGCAATGGCATGACATGTTGCTCCTTGCTTGCTTTTCTTCTCACTGTTTTGCAATGTCTACTCCAGTTATATCTTTTAACTCTTTCTCTTGATGTTTATCTTACTTATGTTTGTGTTCTGTGTGCATGTCATTTTTGGGTTCCTCTTTAATTTTAAATTCCTTCTCATTTGTTTGTTTAAAGTTGGATTTCTTGAGGATATGCAGTTCCTTGGACTGTTTCAACTTTGAAGTACTTCCAGCTTCATAACCAAAATCATCCTCTTGAAATGTACCATAACCTTCCATTCTTTTTAAATTTCTTCTTAAATTTTCCTTTGTTCCTCTCATGATCCTTTTCGTCATCACATACTACATCAGGAAGGTCATACAAGCAATTGTGAGGTGGTGAAAGCTGAATGGTGTTGATCAATCCAGGGAATTTTGTAGGACTGATTTCTTCAGAGCTGGGAGTATGACTAAAACTATCACTGTGTCCTACCTGACAGTGTTCTCCAGGGCTGCTAGTGGGAAGCAGGAAGCACTAGGTCATTCTGGTTCCCTGACTTCAAAGTGAAATCTTCTGGTCCCTGTCAGTGACACTGTTGGGGTCTCTCTTGATGGCACAGCAGCTCCCCCTCAGCCTCACATATGGGGCTTTGTCTCACATCCCTTTCCACCTCCTCCATCTGACCACAAGGATGGTGAAGGACCTTGGGGTGAAGCTGTGTGAGGAGTGGCTGAGGACATTTGGTGTGTTCAGCCTGGAGAAAAGGATACTGGGGAGGACCTCACTGCAGTTAAAACTTCCTTGTCAGCAAAGTGGGAGGAGTAGGTACATGTCAGTTCTATGTGGTGACAGTGACAGGACATGATGGAATGGATGGAGTCTGAGTCAAGAGAAGTTTAAACTGGATATTAGGAAAAGAGTTCTTCACCCAGAGGGTGGCTGGAACAAGCTCCCCAGGGAAGTGGCCACAGCACCAGCCTGACAGAGCTCAAGAGGCATTTGGACAATTCTTTCAGGCACATGATGAGATCTTGGGGATGGTCCTGTGCAGGGCCAGGAGCTGGGATTGATGATCCTTGCAGGTCTCTTCCAACTCAGTGTATTCTGTGATTCTGTGATAATTTCCCATCTCACCTCTTTATTTTCTCTTTACTTTCTAGACACCTATTCAAACAGCGTGCAATAATGACACTGAATGAGTGGATCATACTTTCTAAACGTTTTGAAATAGCTTGAAGCCACCATCAACTGAAGGGCAATTTACAGTAATTTTATGAAGCAGCAGGGAGGAAGCCTTCTTTGTTGCAATCCATAGAGACAGGTTCTCGACAAGTCTGACCTTCTTTCATTTAAAGCAGAATATGTCCTGCAGAGAAAATTCTGAACACATTAATCATTGCTTCTAACAAAATATTTTCAACTATATTAAACCTTAGAAATCAACATTTTACCATCAGTCTTCTAAAGTCACTAGTTTTCTTTTTAGCAAGAGATTATGGTTTTCTATTTTAAAAAATCATATATAAAACCAAATTCTGTTTACACAGATTGTTGGTTGAGTTGGATACTCAGTACTCTGAACTCTCAAAAAAGATGTAGGTTCACTTCTCACATACAGCCCTCATTGCCTTCCTGTTGAAATAGTGGCAGGCCTCTGCACAAATTAATCACTGACTTTTTATATTCTGAAAACTGTAGTTGTCTTATTTTCCTTCTTCCCTGTACAGTAATTATTTTTCAGGATTGGGTAATAAGTCAAATAAACGATATTTATTTTTGAATCTTTGCATTAACCAACTTTTAGGGGAATATCATCCTAATGACAAATACACAAGACTTATTTTACTTTGAAAAAAACTCTATAAATGTTCAAAATAAAGATAAGTATTGATTTCCAAGGAAAAGAAATAGAAAAAAAATTCTGTACAAAGTGGCAAAAATCTTCAAAGTACCCATAAGAATTAAAAACATAAAATAGATCAAGATTTTGCATCACAATTTCTGTCTCAAACAGGAAGAAAATAGTATTCTGAGGCGTTTCATATGCCTTTTGGACAGCAGAAGATACATGTTGTGAAATCCTTTTCTTTTGAAAATTTCCTTGAAAAATTGTGGACTTCCCATATTTTGTAACTCATTTTATATTGGTAATGAACATTCCTGCATAACTGGAAAACAAGACACACATTTTTCATTTTGATCTGCAAATGGCTTCTATTTCCATTTGAGGAAAGCCAGTAAAGAACAATTACCTGGTTACCATTGCAAAGAACATCCTCTTTACTCTTCATCAGTCTGACTCTGAACTTAAATCTTCTCTATGAAAAACAGCTTTGAAGAAATAAGTGAACATTTGATTTTAGTTATACAATTATTTCAATTGCAGTAGAAAGTGGCTGCAATTTACTGAGCTAAAGTGAAGATATGATTTGTGAGGTAGACTTTTAAAAAGACACAGCAGGAATTTTACTATACTCACAGACGTTAGTAGTAGATATTTAAGTAAGGAAAAAAACATATTCTGCGTTCTGCCTTGCATTAAATGACCTTGCTCTGACAAGGGGACCAAACTAACTCTAAATAAACACTAGTGGAGAAAATTTCCAAAGAATTAAGGAAGATATTAGTAGATTGATGCAATTTTTTTTCTTTTATATAGTCCTGACATAGCTTTGCAAAAGCAGCAGACTAGATGACCAGGCTGTGGCAATGACTGTACCCAGAGACGTAAATTTGTCCCCTGCAAACCTCAGAATGATATATAGGCTTGGGGCATCCCCAGAAAACACCCTCACCGATTGACAACTCAGATAGAAGTTAAATGCAGTATCTAGTATATATACCTTTGACATTTTCTTGAGAATTCAATAAAATATGTGCTTAAGTCTGTGATTGTATCACAGTGCTTCACGAATATGAGATCTGGAACAAACCTTTTACTGGGAGCTATAGGCATAATGTAAGCTGCTACCAAGTTATTTCACCAGTCTGAAGCTTTAGGCAAGTAGTTTCAAATCTTGTGGAGGCTGAAATGTAACAACAAAGGTATCACAACACAGACATTACCTTTTTAGTAGGACATGATCTCAATGACATCCATAGGAATAGGTATACTGAACTATAGTTTAAATATTATGACAGAAACATTGCTGTCCTTATCTCTATCTGTTTTTCAGGTCATCTCCACATTGTAAGACTTGGGCAATACTTTGAATCAAAATATATAGCAAAGTCTTGCTAAAACAACCCCTTATTAAAAAAATGAACTCGAAGTTTGGCAGTTAGACATTAGTAACACTTAGGTTATTCAATGACAGATTTTTCAGTTCATTTCTCTTTAATGCAATCTAATGACTTGATGCTCATTGTTGTTCCTTTCTTGTGTAACTGTTGAATCTGCTAATGCTAATAAATATTGCATTCATTTACAGCAATAAATGCATTATAGTGGCCTAATCTACTCTCATTAGGGTATTTCCAAGTAGATGATTCTTACTAGCATTTATGGAATTGCTACATGGTATGCATTGTTGGGGGAGGCCTTGGCAAAAAATGACAGCCTGAAGTTGTGTACCCTTTCATCATATAAGTATGTGGTTAAATTTAAAAATGAAGCTCAAAGAGCTAATTAAATTAATTATGACATCTGCAAAATTCAAAACTGTACTACCCCTTTTTACTTCCCTGCTACACAGTCTCCACACAAAAGTCAGCTTTACTGGTTTTCTTTGTTCATTCTGCTTTTGCATAACAAATCATATGAAATTAATCTGCCTCTAGTGGCTAAAAAAAAAAAATCTTAGCAATTTTGAAATGTGTGGAGTAGTCATCTATATGGAACTAACATATAGCAAGTATACATGTAGGCATTAAGGTGTCAGCTTTCTCAAAGAATTGTAATTAAAGTAGCCATAGTGTGTTTTGCTCTATGTCATTGTGCTGTTTGGTTGTATTTTTTTTTTTTTTTTAAGTTTGCAGTCCTCTATCATCCAAATATGACACATACACTCCACAAATGTAACCAAAGAACCAAAGAACTGCACTCAGGCAGCAATGGTGGTCCATGCAATGTAGGTGTTCTGTGGGTCATTTCCTTTAAAAATGCTTTGCTTCCTGATCTCCATCTACAACATACAGAAATCCAAACTCTACACATACAAGTGCAGGAAATTGTATGAAATGTCTATGAGAAAACCCTTTGAGAGTCATGACAAAGATAATATATCTAATACTAATGAGTAAATAGACATATTGATATTTTTTCAAAAATAAACAAGGTCAGCCTTTAATTTCTAAATACCTTTCATAACTCAAGAGAAAGGTTTTAACCAAGAATCCTTGTTCATGTTGTACTTCTGTGAGAAATATTATCTGACAGAGCCAAGAAACAATCATGCCCTGATATTTGAATAAGGTCTCTGATCTTCAAGCTATACCTCTGAAATTCTTAATTTTCTTTAACCAATATATCATCTGTATAACTTATCACTATAAACAGTTTAGAGTTGACATATATTCTTCTATATGACATTGTTTAATTGTAGAGTGTATAAGTATCTATAATTTTCCTATAATATCAACATCTTTCTTTTGGAAACAGACCATGGAAGTCTTACAGTCCTTCTGTGTGTAAAAGTGGAGCTTTGAATTTACTGGCTTGTGTGCACTGTCTATTTTTGCTGATGAATTGAAATTACCATAAATATTGCCATAAGTATTTCTATAAATAAAACATAGCAAAATCAATACTCCAGAGATTAAAATTACCTAAAAAACCAGAGAATAACTTTTGCATCTGTACCTGGCTCGGCACAGTTTGTTATCCATTATTCTGGGATTTTTTGGTTTTGAAGATGTATACCATTTTTCTTGGAACTGCATTCCACATGCAAGGTGATCAATTGTCATGGGCTATCCTTTTTATGTCTCATATCCTTTTACCCTTTGTCATTTGAGCTAATGTTTCTGAATTATATTTCTCTATACTGTTATAATTTCATGTCCATTTTTGCAAACTAAGAAATTCTCAGATCAGCATATAGAGGAAAATTTCACCAATGAGAATAGAGAAAAATTATAGGATATTTTTAAAATTCCTTGGGGCAAAGCTTCTTTTTGCATCTATGATTATCAGTAGGAAGTGTGATGGGATCTACCTGCAGCTGAGTTCCCATATAATATTGCAGTTCAAATTATACATCACTTAATAAAAGTTGCAGTGTGTAAGAACAACTTTCAAAGTGGATAGGTATGTTACATAATGTAAGAATTTTCCACTAAAATTATTTTTAAGTTTCACTGGGGAAGCTTGACATTAGTGAGCAGAGCTCAGCCTACAATATGCATAGCAGAATTATAGCAGAGGCTGTGTATGTCTTATGTCTTATGGTGTTATTATTCCAACTGAAGTGCACAGAAGCCTACTCAGTGATGCTTGAAAAGTGAAATAAAAAGTGGGCATGGAGAATTACCAAAGTTCTAAATTCTTAATTAAAAATCTTAGAGAATTTTATTTTAAAGCAAACATTTTACCCAGTTTCGTGGTAATGTCTATAATTTGCTAGTAAATACAAATTCATTATTTTCATGTGTTGCCTTTTATAAAACCTTGCTAATTATAATTCATAAGTGGTTGTCCTATATATAACTTACTTGAACACCCCTGTATTTTTAGAGTTAACAGTTATACTCACTCACCAGTGATTCAGCTGAATTATTCCTTTGGAACAATAATGAACATATATATTAGGCATATTTAATGTGCTATTTTTTATGATACACATATTTAAAAAAACCAAATGACAACAATATGCTGGGGATAAATATGTTGCACTTTATAATTTTGGGATGAAATGAAACATTATTACCATATGATCTCTGAGAAAAATTATAGACAATTCTTTTCACTAGTCACATCCAGAGAAGTAATAGCATCTAACTATTCATATTACAATGCCAAATTTACTGCAAAACTTCTACAGTAGTTTCAGTGTAAACGTAATTGTGATAGCTTTTTCTGGTTCTAAAATCATGAGCCAGACACAGTTAGGTGATAAAATGCAGTTATCTTTATAAAGGTTCCTTTATGGTACACAACACACTGAAATACACACCAAATATACACCAAAGATGCACACTGTAACATATAGCAGGCACGACTTTATATGTTTAGCAAGTTAGCACAACTGACAAGAATCCCCAGTTAGAGACACAGGTGATGAGATTATCCCCCTTTGGTTCAACTCTTCTCTAAAGCTCTCCCTTTAGATACTAACTAAACATTGTTTATGAAAAAGTGTCTCAAGAAGCTGTTTTAACCTTGGTTCCCAGTGGAAGCAAGATTAGTATTGGAAGTTTTAGGAGTATGTTTTGCATTTCTATGTAACACAGTCAGTGAAAGGCTAGCTATGAATCTATGTGGTTATACAATAACAGGCTACAGAGCTACAAATATATATAAAAATATATATAAAAACAAAATGGCAGAAGTCAGTTTGGCATCAGTTGGACAGAATCAAATGGTGAATTATAAGATTAAAACATATGGATAATCTGTTCCTCCATGTTTCTTCTTAGGAGGTTATAGAGTAACAATTAAAATGATACCTGAGCACTTACAAAAAATTAAAAAACTCTAGTGGTAATGCACCAGAGGCATCCAGGACCAAGAGGACATAAAGTGAATTCAAGCACAATTTCCTAATCATATAAAGATGTTCCATTCCCCATCAAATCTGTCCTTTCCAGTCATAATGTGCTTGAGGCCAAACTGGATAAGGAACCAGATTCCCCCTCCACAATATTCACCTAAGAGAGAGGTTAACTGGTCACAGAATCAGAGCTCAGATCCTGTTAGACCAACAAAATTATTCTGACAAGTTCTGACACTCTGACAAGTGTCTAATGTTCACTTGTGCCACCTGACAACCTGGACTATTAGATATACATATAACATGGTTTGCTATGTTTGTAGCTGTTAAGCACAAAGGTAACTCTTTTAACAGAAATTAAGTGGTATGTATCTTTGCCAAATTTGGTCTTTTTTTAGTGTGGTTTTGGTACCCTGTTCAATACAAAGCACAGATATGACATCTCCTTTAAGGTCTGGCTTTCCACAGCTGCTGCAGTTCTGCCCTGCCTTGGCAGCACAGCCTCCATTAGGAGGCTGGGAATCCCACTGATGCCAGCAGTGGGTTTTAATATCCCCTACAAGGAGGGCTTAGCTGAAGTGCCTAAGGAGAGAAACATGAATTTGTTTTGTAACAGAAAGGATTTATTATGGTCCCTCAGGTGAGAAAGAGAGAAAGAAATGG